TTTTGTAAATCATGAATGCACTTACCAGTTGTTTTGGTTTCATTTGTTCCTTAACCTCTTATGCAGTTGGTCATTCGTCTTTTGTTTCATTGTGATGCTGTTTCCTAGGTGTTTGTGAATTTTGCCAAGCAGCAGTCAGGAGAAGATGAAGATATTACATTGCATCCAAGAGCAGCTGGAGCTAGAAGGGATGTGAGAGTCTCTCCAGCTAATGCTACCCCCCAGAAATCCTAAAACGCGTGCCAATAGCTAAGAACTATTACCATACATCAGGTTTCCTCAGAAGCTGAAGAATTTATTTTTATGGTGCACATGGATAACAATGCCATTTAATTAAAAATTCATTCTTTGCTTAGTTTTTGTGCTTAATGTGTAGAAGAAACATTGCATCACAAATAACATGATTCAGTCATTTTGGCTCAGCTGTCCCTTTGCTACTGTTAGAGTTAAGCAAAATAAAGGCATTTTCACAGAAGGGTTTTTGATATCAGTGTGAATCATATATAAATTCTTCAGCTGCAGAGAAAAAGCAGAATTTCTATGCTTTTGGCAGCACCAAGAACAACATTCCGGTAAGAACCTTTTAAATTCCACAAGTGGGAAACTCCCTACAGTTAACATATAAATGTATACACTAAATCATATCATCAACACTAGAACGTCCCATTGATTTATCAGTGTATATGTAAGAACATGTAAGTAAATAATCTCTTTATCTGTTGATTGGGGCAAGTTTATTTTTGCTGTTTTGAAAGCAAATTAGTATTTTTCATATAAAGAATTATTTTTATGATATTAAAAAATACTTTACTGAGGCTTAGAACAAATTCATGTACATTACCTGTCATTTATTATGCTTTTGTTAGACCTTTGCAATGCATGATGGGTAAAATGCTTGCACTATAAAGATTGTTACTTAGGGATTGGTGCAATCGTGGGATGTGAAATGACAGAATAGAGTTGTGGTTTATCCATGTACCCTAAGAGAGATGCAGAAGTTGTAAAGACAAATACAGAAAGGCAATTGCCACATGGGTTTGGTTATTGCTTTTCTTTTGTATATCTTGAAGAGAGATAAAGCTATTATCTTGACAGACCTGAAACTGCTGTTATGTACTTGTTTAAATATAAACACCATACACATAAAATCGAGATATTTTTTTTGTATGAATTGTACATATTATATTGTTTCCTGCATTGTGTGGACTTGTGACAAAGACTTAACAAAGAATCTGACCCACTTTTAGTTTAATAATTCAAATATTTTATTCAAAATGTACACTCTGGATAGAAAATACAGAGCAACAGCACCATGAATTGCAAGGCTGCATTAGTGTTAAACACAGAATTACTGAAAACAACACCTGAGAATATAGTAGCTCTTCATTTATCCAGCACGTGAATAATATAGCTCTCATTATAGTATATGAACATTTTGTTCATTATTAAAGAACATTTTATCAGTGCATGCCACTTTTTCCATTTGTAAACATTGCTGTTTTACCTGTCTTAATATTTTTAGTCCTCATAAGTAATTTCCATCTTAAACATTCATTTCCCCCTTTTCAGGACCTTAATATTTTGATCCATTTGCTTCATTCATCTCCTTTCTGAATCTCTGCCTACTCGTAGTCTTCTGTTTTACTTCCTATGCTTTAAATCTACCTTTTATTAAACATGTATCTTTTGAGTTTGGAAGGAAATGACTTGTCTCAGTCAACATTTTCAACCAGCTACTGAATGAGGTCCATGTATTATGCTCATATAAATTAAGGTCCTCTCTATAACGTAATTTCACAAAATATATTTTCTACTACATTTTCAGCTGCTCCTGAAAGATTCCTAAGAAAATAATACCAGCTGTACATTCTGCTGCTGAATTCAATTAAAGATCCACTTCATTCTTTTTATTTCAGATGTGTTTGCATTTACATACTTTGCATTTTCTCCCCTATAATACTATGGTACATAGTTAAATTCTCATACAAATGTTCAGGCAATTGTCAGGTTAACTGTGATGTATCAAGACCTATTGTTCCTTACATAGCCAAAAGAACATATTGATATTTGAACATTTAAGATCTGAAATCTCCCATTTAGGCAATCTCTCAGTCCATCAAACTCATAATTTACTTTTCATTCATGTACATGTTTGTAACATGATATTGCAGCACCATTCTTTTTTCCAAACACCCATTCAGAATTTCTTCTATGCATATACAGTATGCAGTATAGCTGTGCATTAGCATAGAAGTTGAGTTGCTTATTTTTTCTTATTTAAAAATCCATATGTGAATTTAAGAAAGAACATACAAAGTGGTCAAATTCTGTGAAGGGATATCTGTGCCTTTTTTTTTACAAACCAGGATTCAGGAATGATAAAACAGAAGAGGACAAGGGAAGGCAGGCACATCAATAAATTGACCTGTTGGGTCTTTGGGCACACCGTTGTTCACAGACGGGCAATATTGCGTCAGTGCAATATGAAGATGGTCAGTGTGCTGACACTACATTACTTAAAAACAAACATTGCCTCTGTGTCCTCTCTTGCACAGCTGTACAGTAACCATCTCAATTTAAAAATCTCTAAACAATACAAACCATATTTTAATTTAATTTGTTAAGCAAGTAAAATGGACTTGCATCATACTATACTGAAAGCATCTGTAGCCCTCTCTTCACAGGCCAACTCAAATTCTCCCTTTCCCAAAACAGAAATAAAAAAAAGCCTTGCCATTGAGTCAGTCATTATTTAAGGGCACAACAGGAGTGTCTTAGCTCAGCCCATAAGCCACTGATTGTTACTGTTCTTATCACCTTGCTTTCTGTCTGTTTGTCTGTTCACAGTAAGAAGGGAATTATAGGCATCCTCAGTTCTGGATAATCCTTAAATTCTCTTGTGTAAGTTTCATGTTTTCCTTTTGCCCAAATTGTCATCTGAATGAAACCCACAAGGGTAAACAGGGCCACTGAAGAAAAAAGAGGATACACATTGCTGAAGAAACAACAGCCACTAATGTAGTATCAGAAAATAAGACGTCAAAGTTAGACCGATCGAGGAAAAAAAAAAAGCTTACCTGGAATACACTGTGTCATGATTGTAAAACCGAGCCAGGCTCCTACCTGTAAAGTGAAGCACGGCCTTATTTAAAGCTAAAAGTTACATTTACATTTTCATAAAGTAAACTGTTTTTTAGTGGAACAATGTGCTATGACTGCATTATCTTCATAACAGATACTGTAAATAAGTTTATAATAATCATAAACTCTTTTTATAACAAGGGATGACATGCCTGACGAACATTAGATTAATAACACTTTTTACTTTGCCTGATTTGACCTAAAAAAAAAAGTAATTGTATTTCATGAGTAGGATTTGTCATCCCTGTACCTTTAATTTGGAGTAGCACAGATATAAACAGCAGGGTCATAATCGCTATCATTAGTATCAGTGTAATTTTATAAAAAAGTAAACTATTTAAGAATTTGAGTTCACACTTTACAAAAATTGCAATGTGCTTGGGTTCCATAAAGGTTCCATGGTCAGAGTTCAAACCTTTTCTTGTAGTAACAGATGCAAAAAAATGTATTTTTAAAGACTGCTCACAATATGTGACATTTAAATAATATACACTCTCACCTCATAGGTATAATTAGGGCATGACACAAAGAAGAACAACCAGGTAAAGGGGTTCTTAGTTGGGTAAGGGACCTTCTGCGACTTGGGGCCTGTTTATGTGACAAAAACAAGAATGTCTAATGGCATTCAAATGTACAAGGCAGATTCTGTTGCACATAGTGGACATTTGGATAGCACAAATCGATTTAAGCAACAATTATCACCTTCTGAAGAACAAACTTTAGAAAACAAGAATGCCTGTTCTATGCAGACTGACATGTCATTATAGTTTGCTTTTTACAACTAGATATAATATTGTTTCTTACACTCATTGTGTTAACATATATGACATATATGAAATAATACGGTGTCAAATCTGAATATGTCAAGTATTTGCATTTGAATTGAATTTGATTTTGAATTACATTTTCTAAAATATATAATAATCTATTTGCGGGGATGAACAACTCCAGTTCTGTGTAGCCACAATGTGGGTCTTTATTTCATCTTTGCTCTTTATGGCATTATTAATCTGATGTGATCATTAGTTTAATTTGACCAGTTGATCACTTTTTTAAATGGTTTTCATCTGTTAATGGTTTAATGAGACCTGCTGGACTGTGTAATATAATGATATACAGTATGTAATATAATATAATGATTAGATGCAATTATAAAAATAAAAAAATGAATTAAAGCACAAATAAATACTGAAAAAGATGTCTACACATACTACGGAGAACATTCTAAATCTAACTTCATATTTCTTCTATTACTCATCAGAAAACTGCTTATCATATAGTCAGTGTAGTTTTGGCATGAGCATATCATTACTAAATATAGTGCCAGTACATCACAGGACCACAGAGAAAGAGACAATTTAAAATAGCGAATAAAACCTAGCCGCTATGTTTTGGGGAGCTTAGAGGAAACTGGAACACTTGAAGAAAACCAGCCTGAATGGGGAAAATCGTGCATACACAGAAGCTCCTATGAAGCTCCTTCAAAGCTCAAGTGCTACCATCTTACCATGCTGGTCCCATGCAGAGCTGCTTTGCATTTATAAGAGTGACATTCTTCATCCAAGAGTGAGTCTATGCAGCTTTTTATCCCATATTGCTATCCCTTTTTACTTTGCTGGGGGATGGAGGGTCTTACATATTTTATTATAATGCATGAAACTTCATAAATACATTCTTCCAGATTAAATGATAGATATAAGTGAATATTATGAACATACTTACCACCAAATCTCAAATTTTTAAGAGCAACATGGATAGAGAAGTTGCCTGCCTCACAGAACTGAAAGAGAACACACATTTCAATCCTGTTAGTACAATATGATACACACTACTCTAGCTCTACAATATTCCACTCCTCTTTTCTGTTTATCCGGAGTCTACAATTCAGCATCATAAAGAAATGTACCACGGTTACATACCTTTTCTTATGTAGTAAGAAAAGAAAATCCTTCATTATAATAAAAAGTCTGTGGATAAGTGTGGCTTTCAACAATGTAGCAAAAAGATTATCTGATGTTTCAAGTCTTATTGATGTTATAATACTTACCAAAAAAAGCGCCAGTGCATAGTTTACTTGCTTATTTCCATACGCTGTGAAAAAATGGGGGGAAAACATTTTGTTTATATTTCCTAACAGTAAGAAATTGAGTTTTTGTACTTGAAAGAGCTCAGTGACAATAATAAGGGCTACTTACAAGGTGGTGTATAAAGAGGGTGATTTATATAATAGGCCAGCCATGCTGCAAAGCCCCAATAGTAAATGCAGTTCTGAGTGACAGAAGACAAAAAAAAGCTTTTACACAATGAACTTCAGCCTGGACACGGTCATAATGCACAAGGTGGTTTCCAAATTAAATGAACAATTTGATGTAAAACACAGTACTGTATGAGTATGATATTTAGAGCACATTAGTGCACAAGGCCTAACTTCAAGATCTAGCATAGACATTTCCAGGACTGGAAGGTCACTTACAAAAATAGCCATTAAGTGACACTTTGGTTTCTATAGAAATCTAACAAA